ATCTGAGGAAATATATCTGAGGAACTACATCTGAGGAAGTACATCTGAGGAAATACATCTGAAGAAATATATCTGAGGACAATTTTAAAAAATAACGACGTAATCGGCGTAAAAAAAAAAAAACAGATGCTGCAACGCGGAGCAACGGTTTTTCGTATCTGACTTTGACATTCCAAAAACTACACGGTACTGTACAGTACACATATACGTGTATCTGTGTGTGTGTGTGTGTGTCACAGATTACAGCCTTAATTTTTCTATGTGTGTCTGACTTGTTATCCACGACCCAGAGCTTTCCCACCTCTCTCTCTCTCACACACACACACACACACATCTCCTTCTGCGTGCGCTCCCGTCCATCAGTCATTGTTAGCGACCGTGGATATCAGCTAAACGCCTGGAAAATTTGTGAGTGTGCGTGCTCGTGTGTGTGTGTGTGCGTGTGGGTGTGTGCGTGTGGGTGTGTGCGTGCGTGTTGTTATGACTGGCGTCACCCTGACAGGAGCCATTTGTCATCCTGGGACCTCTGGTGGATTGATAACAAACCAAAACACAAACATAAGTGTCTGAAAATGAACTCTTGTCGACTCACAGCCATTTTTTTTTTCAGCGCCCCAGGAATGTGGACCAACAGCCAGCCGTCTGATTGGCCGGAGCACAAGTTCGGGGGTGTCCACAGAAGCCTGGAGAGAGAAAGAGAGAGAGAACACTCTATATATTAATATTCTACTTATAAAACAATGTGCAAAAGTTTTAGGCAGGTGTACTTTTACATATACATACATATATACAGACATACTGGAATACATGTATGATATATATATATTATAATGTATGTATATTGTATATATGTATGTACATACATATATGTACAAACATATATCCCTATATATTAATATTCTACTTATAAAACAATGTGCAAAAGTTTTAGGCAGGCGTACATTTACATATACATACACATATACATACATACTGGAATATATGTATGATATATGTATATATTATAATATATACATATATTCTTGTATGTATGTATATATGTATATGTAAATGTACGCCTGCCTAAAACTTTTGCACAATGCTTTTATAAGTAGAATATTAATATATAGGGATATATGTATGTACATACATACATATATCCCTATATATTAATATTCTACTTATAAAAGCATTGTGCAAAAGTTTTAGGCAGGCGTACATTTACATATACATACATAATACATACTGGAATATATGTATGATATATGTATATATTATAATATATGTATCATGAATATATGTATGTACATACATATATGTACATACATATATCCCTATATATTAATATTCTACTTATAAAACAATGTGCAAAAGTTTTAGGCAGGCGTACATTTACATATACATACACATATACATACATACTGGAATATATGTATGATATATGTATATATTATAATATATGTATCATGAATATATGTATGTACATACATACATATATCCCTATATATTAATATTCTACTTATAAAAGCATTGTGCAAAAGTTTTAGGCAGGCGTACATTTACTGACCCCCGCTCCTCCTTTTTGTAGCATTTTTGACTTTTCTTCTCCTTCACGTAATTACTGCACATTCAAAGGAGCAGCAGAGCGATCCACACACAAACAAAGAACACCGAACAACAGAGTAGAGGGCACAGCGCCCCCTACAGACGCCCTCTTGTTTTTTTCTTTTTTTTCAAGTAAACATCCGGGTCGCAGACCAGAAAGCGGTCACTCGGCAGGACCCGTTCAGCCAGAGTTATTACTTAGTGACAATAGTTGTAATTTCTCATAAAGGTGACAACTAGTGGATCCCGCCGGAACTGCCGCTCTGGCCTGTCAAAGGCAGTTATATGGGTTTTTATTAGAGAAAATAATATTTTTTCGAGTGTGTGATTTTTTTCCCCCAAATGAAGATGAAATTATTCATGTGTGACTTCGCTCTTGTTAAATGTACACAAGCAATTATTTTTCCACTTCAACCAGAGCCGGGACAGAAGATAAAAAATAAAAAAAAGAGAGGAGAGAAGAAAGGCAGGAGGAGAATTAGGTGTTTTCATCCATTGATTAATGGCCTTCTAAAGCAGAGTACATCGAAGGAGCCGGCCGATCAATAAATTAACTGCCCAAATTCATCATTTTCTACAGCAAAAGCTAATTATTTAGACGGCTGCAGGAAAGGGGAAAAAACACAATATTAACAAGAGTTCATTTAGCAACACCGCGTATTCCTGCACGTGAGAACGCCGCTGACCCACAGCTGCGCCGAGGAGGAGGAGGAGGAGGAAGGACGCACAGACGGATTCCAAGTC